CCCCTCCCTGGTGCATGCTGGGCGAGGACTTTATCCACTAGGCTACTGCACCAGACCCTATGATTTATTTTGTCTGTCAATATGTGTGCCATGTTGAGAAACACTGAAGGTAATTTCTGAGTAATGATAGCAAAGAGGTGCTGTATTTGTTTTTTCTCTTTTGGTTTGTTTTCATCCATTTGGAAGGCTGGGCTCCTCTGTATCTTTACCCAGCTGCGTGCAGCAGCAGGGGCCTTGGCCAGGCTGAAGCCAGGAGCACAGAGCTGTCGCCATCCTCCCCTTGGAGGAATGCTGTAGCGGGGAGCTAGATCAGAGTTGCCAGGGCTCGGGATCTGGTGTCTCAGCTGGGAGCAGAGTTGCTGCTGCACACATGGGCAAAAGGGACACTTTGTAAGTTCCATGTAAGTGTTCAACTTTCTCAAGTGCAAGTGTAAAAAGTTATGGTTACTTATGCCTTATGCTTATTATGGAAGAAACATCTAAAATTATGATTTTATCTGCTGTAAATGAATATAAGTTTCTTTCAAATTTTGCATAGCATGTAGTACAGTGGTAAATACAAGTATATTCTGTAGGTACTTGACATGTGGTATTGAGGGCCCGGCTTGGTGGCCTAGCAGCTAAAGTCCTTGCCTTGGATGCACCGGGATCCCATATGGGTGCCAGTTCTAATCCCAGCAGCTCCACTTCCCATCCAGCTCCCTGCTTGTGACCTGGGAAAGCAGTCGAGGACGGCCCAAAGCATTGGGACCCTGCACCCGCGTGGGAGACCTGGAGGAAGTTCCTGGCTCCTGGGTCTAGATAGGCACAGCTTCAGCCGTTGCGCTCACTTGGAGTAAATCATCGGACAGAAGATCTTCCTCTCTGTCTCTCCTCTTTGTATATCTGACTTTGTAATAAAAATAAATAATTTTTTTAAAAAAATGTGGTATTGAGGCAGTAATCGCTACATATAAATTGCTGATAAATATACTTTTAATTTATTACTAGTGATTTCGGAACATGCATGATATACTCCAGGATCAGGGATAGATTGATGTTTTTCAGGCTTCTTTTCAGTTTTACTATTTGCTTAATTTTATTATTTTTTAAAATTAGTTTTTCTAAAAAAATTTAAACTTAGCAGTTTATAGTATTCAAGCAAGATTTTACAGAATTGTGCATTCTAGGGCAATCAAAACCGTCTGATATCTCCAACAAGACATATAGTAACAATTGAAGAGTAGAATGGTGTTAGGCGGGTGAGAGAGAAATCCCCAGTAACTTAGCAAGTGAGGAGTAACTGAACTCTGCCTGCTCCCTGGTGAGGACTAGGAAGAGGCAGATCGGGAGCCTGAGCAGTAAGGTACAGGCTGAGCAGTTTTAGGCCAGCTGACTTCTTGAGAGATTGATTTTTATGTTGGAGGCTGAATGACAGAGAAGAGGAGACAGAGAGAGAGAGCGAGAACACTTCTCTCTCTCCAAATGGCCTCATTGGCCAGGGCTGAGTCTGGTTAAAACCAGGAAGCTGCAGCTGTACCAGGGTCTCCCACGTGGGTGGGATCCACCAGGGGCCCAAGCACCAGAGCCGTCCTCGGCTGCCCACCCAGGGGCATTTGCTGAATCAGAATGGAATAGCTGGGACTTGAAGTTGTTGTAGCACAAAATGCAGGTCAGACGAGTTTTATTCCTTTGTTCCAGAAAACTGGCAACTTGTAAGTCACATGGAAATGAGTTGTTTCTTACAGGCTATGCTGACTTTGCTAGAAGAGCCAGCCTTTCACCTCAGCGTTGTGTGTTCTTCTGGAGACCTTCTAGCCCGTCAGTGTAACGTAGTGACTCTTATTTTTAACCGTAGGAGGCAACGAGAAAGCGCGAGCCCGTCACACAGCAAGAGGAAAGCTCTTACCCAGAGACAGGATCGACACCCTTCTTGACCCAGGGTCGGTGCATGGCCGGGTGCTGGTGCCGAGGGTTCTCTGCTGCGTGCTGCATCATTAGACGCTTTGTAAATGCACAAGTCTGATTCTAGCTCGTCCAAGCAGTGTCAGACTGCCTGCAGTGTTCTGGTCCGTTATTTCATCATATTTATTTATTTGAAAGGCAAAGTGACAGGGGAGGGGCGGGGGAGAGAGAGAGCGCTAGAGAGAGATCTTCCTTCCACTGGTTTACTTCTCAAGTTGGCTGTAACAGCCAGTTCTGCTCCAGGCTGAATCCAGGGACCAGGGACTCCATCTGGGTCTCCCACCTGGGTGGCAGAGGACCAAACACTTGTATAATTTTCTTCTGTTTTTGCAGGCACATTAACCAGGAGCTAACTCACAAGCAGAGTAGTTAGGACTTGAACTGCCACTGGAGTTTGGGACCCAGCCCTGGAGCGTGCCTTGTCGCTGGGCCACTTTTCCAGATCTTATACACAGCAGGTGCACTTGAAACATCACCCCACTGAAGAGTGGGGTTTTGTTGGTTTGTCTATTTTAAGTGACTTAATTCAAGCAGCACCCTGTTTTCCCTACAGGTCCCCGTTTCTGGAATTGTCCCAGTTTGCAGGTTACCAGCTGTATGGCGATGAGGAGGTGCCAGCCGGTGGGATCATCACGGGCATCGGGAGAGTGTCAGGGTGAGCACCTGCGGCTGCACCCGGGAGTGCGAGTCATGGGGTGTGTTCCCCCACACATGTCAGTGTGCAGGCTCTCTGCTCTTTCCGTCCTTTAGAACAGAGGCATCCCATAGAGCAGGCCGGCATTGGATTCCCCCAAGGAGTGTTGCAGACAACACTGGGAGAAACCCCACAAAAGGTGCTTGTTGCAGCCCAGCCCTCCTTGCTTAATCAGACTCTCCAGGGCTGGACTTGGTGTGTCGTTTTCAGGGACCCTACAGGTGACCTCCTGGGGTGAAAGCCATGTTTTCCAAGTCCCCTGGTGGCCGAAGTGCTAAGCCAGAAACACTGCGTGGGGCCCTGCCACATGTGACTGAACGAGCCCCAGGCTCCTGCTGTTGGAGTTCTCTCTGTGTGTGTTTCCTTGGACTCCCACAGTCCTTCCTGCCAGCTGCTGTGCCAGGCACTATGGCAGCTGCTCCCATCCACTGCCTGTGTTCATTCTGCCCAGAGCTGTGTGAGGCTGGATGCTGTCCTAATCATCGCTGGTGCGCAGTGAGGACCGAGGCCCAAGGTCAAGGTAGCGAGACTCAGCCTTGGTCTCAGTCTCACAGAGCCTGGCCTGCCTGCTGCGCACCCTGATGCTGGCTGGTCATGTGTTCCCTTTCTGCTCACGCTCTGTGTCCTGGGCACAGGTGTGGCCATTGCCATTTACCCATGTCGCTTCTTCCTCTGCCCTTAGAGTTCTCATTGGATTCTTTGCGTCACATTCTGACAAACTCTTTCTCAGTCTTAGAGGACACTGAAAATATGCTGTCTTTGAAAATGGTGAACAGTAACTCAGGATGCAGTTAAATTCATCTGTCGTGGAAATGTATGATTGAGTGGGATAATTTCTCTCTTTTTAGAAAGATTTGCTTTATTTGAAAGGTAGAGTTAGAGAGAGAGAGAGAAATGGGCCATCTGCTGGTCCACTCTATGATGGCTGTTACAGCCAGGACTTGGCCAGGCTTGGCCAGGAGCCAGGAGCTTCTTCTGGGTCTCCCACATGGGGACGTGGCCCAAGGACTGGGGTCATCCTCTGTTGTGTTCACAGGTGCATCAAAAGGAACTGCACCGGAAGTGGATCAGCTGCGACTCAAACTGGCACCCGTATGGCATGCCAGTGGCAATTATACCAGCTTAACTCACCACAACACCAACCCCAAATCCTCTTTAATTTTTAAGATTAGTTTCTTTTTCTATTTGAAAGGCAGATTATCAAGAAAGAGACATAGATAGACATTCCCCGTCTAAATGCCTGCAATAGCGAGGGCTGGGGCCAGGCTGAAGCCAGGAGCCGGGGATTCTACCCAGGTCTCCTACGTGGCTGTCAGAGACCCAGCCACTTGAGGCATCACTGTTCCCTCCGGGATGTGTGTTTGCGGGAAGCTGGAGTCTGGAGCAGAGCTGGGCCTTGAACCCTAGTACTCTATGGGACGTGAACATCCTACGTGCATCCTAACAGCTATGCCGGTTGCCCACAGCTCATCAAACACTGTTGTATGAGTCTTCATTACTTCGACTTCTGTTTGAGGCACTGAGGACACCACGCTGGTGAACAAGAAGGGCAAAGTCCCGGGGCGGCTGTATGGCACGGGGGTTATGACCCCCAAACAAACACACCACCTTACCCTGGGAGCTCAGTTGCTTTTCTCTAGTTTGTTTGCAACAAGGGTGCAGTGGATTATCCTTCAGAGACACGGGGAATGCAGAAGGAGATAATGAAAGCATCATCCATGTAAAGAAAATGGAAGCTTGTAGAGATCACAAATCTATGCATGGTTTCCCATGAGCCGCTGGTGGGGAGGCAGGGAGGTGGGGAGAGACCCGTTCCCTGCCCTGGCTGCCTGCGTTCCCCGCCCTGCTCTCTGTCATCTGGGGTTTTGGTGAGAAGGGGCCCTGTTGGAGGCTCACTGTATCTGTCACATGTCTTCAATGTATTGGTTTAGAGTGTATATCCACTGTGACTTCAGGCCTCACGGTGATGCTGCATTTTAGATTAAGCTTTTGGTTTTTTGGAAGGACATCATGCCAAAATACTAGACAACTTCTGAAAAACATGCTAAATTAGTGCTGGTACTCCTCACGGGTCTGTGTACATTTTTTGCAAATTATCTGACTTGAAAGAAACTCTTAAAGTGTTTCACCCCTGAAACTTACATTTTTAATTTTTGGTTGTTCTTCACTAGGATCTTTTCATTCAGGGAGCTATCATGAAATGAGGCTTAGGTTTTTAATTTTTCAAGTGGGAGCTTGCAGGCTTGTTAACGGGATCATTCAGAACTGTGTAAATGAATGTGCCAAGGCATAGTGAAGGCTTGCCCTGGTGTCGTTAAGACCGGTTCCAGGCAGTGTCCTGGGGGAATGCGCTGCAAGCTGGAGCTTATGCTGAGCATCTCTGATGTGCTGCTTGCTTTGAAGAACTCACACTGTCTTTCCGGTGGAATTTCAGGGTAGAGTGCATGATCGTTGCCAACGACGCGACCGTCAAGGGAGGGACCTACTATCCGGTCACGGTGAAGAAGCACCTGCGGGCACAAGAGATCGCGCTGCAGAACAGGCTGCCCTGCATCTACCTGGGCAAGTGGCCGGCTGGGGACACGCAAGCCTGTTTAGAAGGCTGGACATGGGACATGATCAGTGGGTAGTGAAAAAAAACCTAGGTGGTTGATTTCTGCCATAATCACAGAGGAAACTCTGGGGGAACATCCTGTGCTAATACGGCTCGGGAACGACCCCTGGGAACGCCTTGGTGGAAGTGGGGGTTTGGTTTGTCTTTGTTCCACGCTGTGGAAGTTTTTTTTCCTTTCCTGTATTTTTACTCTTACCCATAATGAGTCCAAATTGTGAAAACAACAGCTACTATTCATGGATCTCTTGAGCGCCCAACACCATGGGAAAGGCAAAATTACATAATTTGAGCAAATTTAAATTTGGGATTAAGATAATTTTGTTTTCTTTTTTGGTGAATCACATCTATTGATTTGCGAATGTTAAACTGTTCCTGCTTGCCAGAGATGAATCCCAGATGGTCTGGGTGAATGATCTGCCTGATTGTTGTTGGATCCTGTTGGCCAGTGTTTTGTTAGAGGATCTTTGCGTCTGTGTTCATCAAGGGTATTGGTTTGTAGTTCTCTTTTTCTGTTGCATCTCTGTCTGGCTTGGTATTAAGGTTATAGTGACTTAATAAAACGAGTTTGGAAGGATTGCTTCGGATTCCGTTGTTTGTACTAGCTTGTGGAGGATTGGGGTAAGTTCTTCTCGAAGTGTTTGGTAGAATTCAGCAGTGAAGCCATCTGGTCCAATCTGTTTGATTGGGAGGGATTTCATTACTGATTCAATCTTAGTCCTTGTTATAGGTCTGTTTAGATAAATTACCTCATGGGTCAATGTTGGTGGATTGTAATGTGTCCAAAAATTTATCCATTTCTTCTAGGTCAGCTGATTTGTTGACTTATCGTTGCTTGTAATAGTTCCTAATAATTCTATGTATATCTGAGGTATCTGTTCTATTTCCTTTCTTGTCCCTGGTGCTTTTGATGCATATCTATCCCTCCTTTTTTTTTTGATTAGTTGTGCTAGTGGGGAGTCTATTTTGTTGATTTTTTTCAAAGGACTAGCTCTTTGAATCATTGATCTTATGTATTGTTCTTTTTGAACTTTCCTCTTAGTACTTCCTTGATGGTGTCCTGTAAGTTTTGATATGTTGTGTTGTTGCCTTCATTTGTCTTAAGCAACTTTTAAATCTCCCCCTTGCTTTCCTTTCTAACCCACGGTTCATTTAGCAGTGTATTGTTCAGTCTGCAGGTATTTGCATGTCTTCTGGAGTAATTTGACTGTTGGTCTCCATTTTTACCCCATGATGGTCTGAGAAGATGCATGGTGTAATTTCGGTTCTTTTAAATTTGC